GTGTCTCTGTCCAAAATCTCAAAATAATGAGCAAGTATAATTTAGGTAAAACAGACGAACAAACACAAGATAGATCGCAGCAATCGCGTGAAGAAAATAACAGCTATTAACAATATAAGTAAAACCGGGCTATACTGTCCTAGGCTGAGTAAGTCACGTGGATCAGAAATTGACCTCGCGATGCCATTGTTCACTGTAGGCAAGCGTGAGGTTTCATCCAATTATTCCTGAGGATTTTCTGGACAGTTGTTATGTGAGCGGATTTTGAATCGTTCTGGACTATCTCACTGCCAATTTTTGGATCAGTGATGAGAGAGGTGAATATACACTGGACACACCAGTGCCTATTCGCACGTTGAACAGATCGTTGTGTATTTTGTGGTTGAAACAAACCGGAGCAACCACAGCCTGGATTCCTTCATACATTATGATGGTGGTGTGAATTTCAGCGGGTACCTCCGATGAGTCTGTGGCGAAGTGTCTACACAGGATAACTCTGGAGCATCGTGCGCAAATGGTTTGACCAATGATCAATACACGGTGACTGGGATTCGTATAACGTAGAACCAAGATATTTCGCGAAACAAATTGAAGGCTAGCAGATAGGTCGGAACAAGATGTGAATTTCAAATATTACTTGGGTAGACTCTGAGAGGAAAGACGGTCCAGTAGCTCAATAACACAAGCTTTGTAAAAGAATTTCGCCATCATGAAGAGTTGCGCTTTGGTCAGTTGGTGCAGGTCGGGAGCGTTGTGTACAAAATAGCATTAATTGATTGACTTGAATGAGTGGTCGGTACCAGCTTCAAGGTGCTGGAAACGGGAGCAACAAGCGCGAAGATTTAGATGGCCCTTTTGAGGTTCCAATTTGTTGATGGGATTAGAAACAGCAGTATGAAAACCAAATATATTTCTCATCGTTACGATGATGTTGTTTCGCCTGAAACACCCACATGAGTGCTGAGCACCTGGTTATAATTTCAGTAAGACAGCCTTTTTCGAAATGCGCTTGGAGACGTTCAGTAAATACAGAGAACACTGTTTTCAACGGAGCAGCTTATTGCATTGATTTTGAGCCTCTAGGCTTTCGAGTTGTTTGAATACTTCACAATGGAAAATAAACTGCACTCGTCAAGGAACAGTTCACCTGAACCATAGTAACAGGGGCTATGGAAGCACTGAATGAATTCGAATGAATCCTCAACATTAGTACACAAGTGATAACACAATTCCGCATTTTCCACACAAAAAGTCAAACGTGCTGCCAAAATGCTGGCAAAAGCCAAAGATTCCTTTAGTTGAACTAATCGACGCATTAAACGATTTCATTTATTTTGCGGCTGCGCATTTCCTGACGTGCTCTCAACGCAAATGTTAGTTTCCGATTCAAAATGCAAAAGCAATATTTTTCGACATTTGAACATTTAGCTAAGTAAAAAATACACAATCACCTTGGCAGCCATGGGTTCACGGCCACTTCACTAGTAAGCCATTTGTGTCGCGAAAAAAGAACAATGTTCCTCCTACGACTTTATTTGCCCAGCTTGGTTTGATGGGTGAATCTATTGGTGGGTGGTCGTTTCACGAAATTACATCGAAACACCTACCGGTCAGTTCAGCTTGTTCAGTTAATGGCGCCTCTCAAAATCGGACCGCAAAACCGTCAAGCCAAATGTTCCCTAAATTTTGTTGCCCGCTTTGTTTTCTTATCTCGAACTAATTATTTGTTCTTATTCGCAGGGTGGTTTCCCCTGGCGCATTGTCCTTAGGTGGTATGAAATGAAAGCTCCAAATGTTATGAGTTTAACAACAAACCTATTTACGTCTGAGTATAAATCAGTCAGTCAAAGGTTCATCTGGTGTCTAAAAGTAGGGAGTAGACGTGAAAAAATGCACGCCTGACCGTTCTGATTTAAACAATCCCACGAAAGGAATTATTTTTCTGAACTTTTGATGCGCTAACTGGTTAAAATCAGGGTAATTACGTTGCAAGCCAGAGTGGGCGATTGCTTTTGTGAAGACATTTTACACACTTTATACCTTGAGAAATTCTCTTTATTAGCAACAACGCGTTAACTAACAACGATAATGTCCGAAAATAAACCTTCCCATTACGTTCGAGGGAGGGGAATTTTGTTCTTATCCTTTTCTAGGAGGTAGACAGCTGGTAACCTTTGATACTGCAACTGAGTTTAGGGGCCAATAACTGAATCCACAATGACTTGGCTTGGCCCTTGATAACCTGGCAATTTCGAGGAATCGATTGCCAGAGAACTCGCTATCGCCAGAACGGATCTTGCTTAAAAATCTTTCTATTATTTTCATATCTTTTCCTCCAGTTGTCTTGAATAGCAGATGACTAATGAAAGTCATTTGCAGAGGGAACAAGCCCGAGGATCATACATCATGATTCAGCTATCACGGTTAATTATATGAAGTAATATTTACAGATTTTTATAGCTGTAAGACTGCTGCTGCTCAGCACCCCTAACGTTGCCAAACTTTTCAGGTTGGATCCTCGTGACCGTTCACGAATTATGTTTACACACTTTGGAACTAAGGTGCATGAAAGGCTTCTCTTAGTCCCATGTATTCGAAGACGTCTACTGCCTGAATTTCCTCAGAAAATTCCTGATTAGGTTTCGTTAAATTGCTCGCAAATGGGAACGGAACGCTAGTGTTTCTCTCAATGAACATCAGTGCTTAATGGCATTCCATTTTTTATTCTATAGTACAGAAATGACGATATTTACAAATATACAGCCAGGAGTTTATTTATACCAGAATCTCTCCTGAATCCCAAAGAGATAACCTAATACAAGGGCAAAATATTTGAGTATAGATTGACGTCAGAATAAAGGTTTTCAACCCAGTGCCCACGGTCTGACCACTGGATACCACTGGATCAAAATGTATGACGATTAGGAATACATATAGGCCATTATTCATTCAGGTCCATTGTTGTCTGACCTGTCATGGGTTACTCAACCTAAAGAAGTCTCCTCAGTTGGTTTTCACCTTTTTGATGAACGGAATTGTCCACAGACTTCATTTTTAACCGACATCCTCGGTTTATCGTACTTCTTCCAATATATTTGTGCTATTTGTCTTGTACAGTGAAAGTCGAATGAGAGCCCGCTGGATGACTAACAGATACTTCGTGTCCTGTAGAGCAGCGATTCGGTTGGTTGCAATCCTCTGTGACGCCCCATAGTCTGCATCTGATATAGACCCGTAGACTTCACTTCGTCCCCAGGCCTGGACAAGCTCACACCCAGGACGCTCCGCCGGTTCAATGCTAATTTGCTCGCTGGGTATTTCAACTTATTTTTGTTACCTGAGGGTTGTCCCCCAAGTCTGTGTAGAGCCCGTATTACGCTAGTTCCGAAGGTCCCACATCCGACTTCACCTGATCAACTGAGACCGATCTCCGTGTCATCCATTCTTGTCCGTTGCTTCCATAAGGTGCTTGCTGAT